TACCACCACTAAACGGCCTTGTAGCTCAGGCCGTGAACCTGACGGCCGAGATCAGTTCCTCTCTCAACCACAATCGTTTGATTAGGAGTCGAACCCAAACAGGCGCACCACTTAACCATTTCATCTACATCACCATCTCGACGCACGGTAGATCGTGCTGGCACGCCCGCGCACAACCGCACCGCATCCAAAAGAAGGACGTCACGTGTTAAACGCATATCCCCTCGGCCCGGTGCTCCAGGCCGTGAGATTTGCGCCGCTAAGAATAAGATGATATATCATGACGGTTTTAAAAACACCGTCGTCTTTTAAAACATAACGACGGTTTTAAGATGCACCGTGGTCTATTTTGTGTCGTGGTTTAACTATTTTGTAGTAGTGACTAGAACTCGATCTTCCTCCAAGACAAGAAGGCGTTTAGATGAGGTAACGAGTAGACAATTTGTTTGTGCACATGAAGGGAAATACATGCCCAAAAATATATCACAGAAGGCTTCAGAAGAGAATGATGAGAGAGACGCAAGTGATATTGAGAATATGAAAGATGCTTACAAGCTCTTCATTTAATTTATCCAAAGCATCATACTTGATTTTTGAACTCAACCTCTGCAAGAACAAAATGTTACATTAGCAATAGAATTCTCAATCACCAGCAACTAGAAATAGATATTTAAGCATATCATTGAGCATACACAATAGGCTAGCCTCAGAAACAATATTGAAAAATATCAAAATTTACAAGCATACTAGCTGAGAGCCAATAGAGGCTGAAGGAAACTATCAGTCCAATAATTGCAAGCATAAAATTTCTCAGCTTTGACCAGTTGAGTTTAAAAATGAAACATAAACTAATTCATGTCCCTTGCAAATATAAAGTTAGCATGAAAATCATCAAAAACCAATCCAAAACAACAACATAAATAACAAAAATGAAAGTACCCATAATTGAAATGACATCAAAATCATAAAACTTTAACTCACAGGAAGCTAACTCTGCGGGAAACTATGAACAAAACCCAGTTTCAATTGCTTCACAGTTCTGAAGTCTGAACAGAACCCAGATTATAAAACCTGAAATCTTCACTATTCAAATGCAGATCTCAATAAAAAGGAATGATTCTCAGCTCTGTAATGAGAGACAAGGCCAGCTGATGTTGATAACTGTTCAAAATGCAGATCTCAATAAAAATGAAAATTGAATAAAAATGGAGTAGAGAATTCATACGTTTGTTTTGCGGTTACTGGAGAGAGAGATAGAGAGACACAGAGAGAGGGAAAAAAGATGGAGATTTTTTCTGATCCCAGGAAAGAGAGAGAGAGAGGTATGCGTGAGAAAGAAGAGAGATTAGAGTACCAAGTAAAAAAAAGGATATTACCTAAAAATGGAGTAGAGAATTCATACGTTTGTTTTGCGGTTACTGGAGAGAGAGATAGAGAGACACAGAGAGAGGGAAAAAAGATGGAGATTTTTTCTGATCCCAGGAAAGAGAGAGAGAGGTATGCGTGAGAAAGAAGAGAGATTAGAGTACCAAGTAAAAAAAAGGATATTACCAAGAATAGAGATTACGTTTCCTAAAAAAAGGGAGGAGAGAGAATAATTTTATTTTATTTTAATGAGAGAGAAAATAAAATTAATGATTGTTTATTTAAAACATTAAAACTATTTGTCATGTCAGATTTAATCTCAACCATTAAAAGTGGAGTAATCTAATGGCCCAAAAATTGTGTCAAAACTTGTGTCAAAAATATGGTGCCACGGATCCGCCCCATATATATATATATATAACCACAGCACAATGAAAACCTCAAAATGAACTACAAATCACAAAAGCATCAACAGATTAAGTGTCAGACCAGCGAGATGATACGGTAAGAACTTTTTTATTAAAAGATGAACAAATTAAACTACGACTATAAAGTTAGAGAAATATAAATCCAAACTTCTTATTTGAAAATGTAAGCATAAGCTGGTCGGACGCGTGTGGACTAATCTCGACACTTGTACATGCAAAACTTGACATACACGTATAGAATAATCTCGATGCACGTACATACAATACTTGCCATACACTTATGGAAAACAGATTCACATAAGTAGAGCTGAATCTGTCTTACAGGTTCTTATGTGAAACACGGTCACATAAGTAGAGTTGAATTCACTGGCGGATCCAGGAATTTTTAAGAGGAGGTGCAACATTTCAAAGACTAACTGTTCCACACAAAAAACATTTTTAAGAGGAGCTGAATCTGTAGTAGAGTTGATACTACCACTACTACAAAAAAGGGAAAAGACGACGGGAATACACCGTCGTCTATCGGGTTTTCAAACCGTCGTAAAATCGAGCGACATCTTTTGCAAAGTAAAACCACGACGGGAAATCACCGTCGTTGTTATAACTAACAACGTCATTAACCAAAAAAAACCGACGTCTGTATATTGAAAAATGAACCAAAAAATTGTCGTGGACAAGAATAGATGACCTATTTTATACAAAATCCGTCGTGTAAATAAAT